CCCTAGGCCTTTCGGTTATAAAGAAGATGTTGTTTAAAGTAAAATATTGACGCCGGACGGATGGATGGACGATGGACGCCGCGCCACGGCATAAGCTCACTTGGCACTTTGTGCCAGGTGAGCTAAAAATAAATATTATTACAAAATATAAACATGACAGCCTGATGCAAAATCTAAGATTGCTGCTTGGCAGCCATATTGATTGTCTGAACAAATCTGGTTATTTACTTCAGTTGAAATAGTCTAGACAAAATGCCCCTAGCTAAGGTTTTACAAAGGATCAGGTCAAAGGTCAAAGCATAGGTCACCGTGATCTACTTTTTGTATTTGACACTTTGCCATCCCAAGATGTATTTGCATACAAAATCTGGTTACTCCATGGTAAATAATATAGAAGAAATGCCCTAGACAATCTTTTTCAAAGGTTGAGATAAAATGTCAGACCATAGGTCAGAATAATTTTTGTACTCAAGTCGACACTCTGCCATTCAAAGATGTACTTGCATACAAGATACTCCCTGGACGAACTTCTGTAACAAGAGGCCCAAGAGGGCCTGTATTGCTCACCTGAATATTTAAGCAGTCATAGCAAAATATTCTCATTTAATATTATATTGCACTAAAAATATTTCCCTCGAAAACTTTGTTGGCTCCATCTGTTAAAACTACCAGCAAAATATTATAATAAGATTCGATGCTTTTTGATTCTTCTTCAGAAGTTGCTTGACATATTTTTCCCTGTTACCTTGTAAGTAGGTCAATGTCATTTTCCTTTTCCAATTGGTTAGCTCTATTCCTTAAAGCTTCTATATTATATATTATAATTGTATGCCTTTTAATTCTTCAGAAGAAGTAGTTTGAACTATTTGACATATTTGATTGCTGTGACCTTGAAAGTAAGTCAAGGTCATTTTCATTCACAAACTTTGTTTGGCTCTTTCCCAGGAAGCCACCTGCCAAATATTAAGATTCTATACCTTTCAGTTCTTCAGAAGAAGTCGTTTGAAGTGTCTGACACATTTGACCCCTGTGACCTTGAAAGAAGGTCAATGTCATTTTCATTCTCAAATTCTGTTGAGCTCCATTCTTGGAAGAAATCAGCCAAATATGAAGATTCTATACCTTTTAGTTCTTCAGAAGAAGTTGTTTGAAGTTTTTGACATATTTGACCCCTGTGACCTTGAAAGTAGGTCAAACTAATTTTCATTCTCAAACTTTGTTGGGCACTATCCCAGGAAGCTACCAGCCAAATATAAAGATTCTATACCTTTTAGTTCTTCAGAAGAAGTTGTTTGAAGTTTTTGACATATTTGACCCCTGTGGCCTTGAAAGTAGGTCAAGGTCATTTTTGTTCTCAAACTTTGTAGGGCTCCTACCAACAAAGCTTTCAGCCAAATATCATGACTCTAGGCCTGTCGGGTCTTCAAAAGTTGTTTGAAGGAAAAGTTGACGGACGAGGACGGACGGACGGACGACGGGCGCCGCGCCACGGCATAAGCTCACTTGGCACTTCGTGCCAGGTGAGCTAAAAAGGGTATAACTCTCTTAAAAATGTCCAGATCAAATTTTTAATACAAGGTGCACATCTTTGAGTGTGTTGACTGCCTCAGTGAAGTTTAATAAAATTCAGCTGAAAACTGCAGGAGTTATGCGGACAAAATTTTGTCCACATGTATAATTACAACGTAAGCTACAATCATACCGATACCCCCTGCTCTACAATAGAAGGTTTTAATGTCTCAGCAAAAATCAGAGGCCATAGCATAAGCCGTCTTGAATCCTGAAATTCTTAAGTCGGCAGTTGACTCCATACAACTCAACTTATAACCATTAAAGACTCAACCAATCACATCCATCTTGAATACAAAAAAAATAAAATTTTGATATTTTACATAAAGTTTATTCCCTGTGTATCACTCTTAGAAAGTTTAATCTTAACTGGTCACATCATTTTAGAAAATTTGTACGGGGAGGTCTTGATATGACTAAACAAAAGCAGCAGCCGACCTTCAAAGTGAGTTTGTCATTTCACATATTTACTAGTACAGTACTTAATGTGAAAGAAATAGAATCAATCATTGCAATATGGAAAAGATCTGTTTAGTTCTTCATATAGTCATTTTGTTTTTATGATCAGTCTCAAAATATAACATGCACAACAAGGGACCAAGGGGAACCTACATATAAAATTTGAGAAAGATCCCTCTGGCACTTCTTGAGAAATACCGATAACAAGAATTGTTTAAGGACGGACTACGGACCACGAATGCAGGGTGATTTGAATAGCCCACCATCAGATGATGGTGGGCTGAAAAAAACAATAAAAAGGAAATGAATTGAAACCAATTTCTTAGTATGTAAATACAAGAGGGGCTTTATCGCTCACCTGGATATCGAAGCATTTCAATTCAATTAAAGTTTATTTGGTAAAAAGGTACAACATAACAATTTCATACAGTACCCAATACATGTTTTGGCACTAATAATTTATATGGCTGATTACATTATATTTGCCATTTGTGGCAAAATATTCCCCAAATCTAAAATCATGACTGCATTCATCTCTTTATTCCCAGCAATTGTATATATAGTTTTGAGGTCGGGATCTCAACCGTTTCAAAGTTATGACTCAGTGGTTAAGTCTGCAAGGGTGGGGCAGACCCTGGAGTCAATTCTAATAGCATGACTGCATTCGTCTCTTTATGCCCAGCAATTGTATTTTGGGTTGGGATCTCAACCGTTACCATGGACTAAGTCTCCAAGGGTGGGGCTAGACCCCAGCGCCATCCTGGAAGCATATGTGCATTAAATCTCTTTATACTCAGCAATTTTATATAAGGTTACAGGATGGGGATCTCAACCATTTCCATGTTATAAACTATTTTTGGCCCGACCCTTTAGCCTGAGGGGTCAGCCTGTCCATTTGTACAATTGTTAATCACCACCAACTAGGAATGCTTCCAACAAAATATAGTTTATATCCATCGCTTAGTTCTAAAGTCGCTTTACCCTTTTTGGCCCTTCAGCTCTCTGGGGTGTCAGCCCCACCATTTGTATAATTTTGAATCCCCACCACCTAGGGATGCTACCAGTCAAATATGGTCGATATCCATTGCTTAGTCCCAGAGAAGTTGCTTAAACCAATACAGCCAAATAACCCTTTTTGGCCCTGCCCCTAAGCCCCCTGGAGGTAAGCCCCTCCATTTGTACAATTTTGAATCCCCACCTCCCATTGATGCTTCCAACCAAATATGATTGATATCCTGTATATTGTTCTAGAGAAGACGTCCTTTATAGCAATATAGCCAAATTGCCCCCTTAAAGCCCTGCCTCTCAGCACCACCATTTGTACAATTTGAATCCCCAGCACCAGTCAAATTTAGTTCAATTTTAATCAGTAGTTCGGAAGAAGACGTCGTTTGAAGAAATTGTTGATGTACGGATGACGGATGTACGGACAACAGACCCCACAGTGTGGCATAAGCTCACATTGCCCCCCACCCCCACCCCCACAAACTTTGTTGCAGGAGATATGAAGAAAACCTGAGGTGTTCTGGACCATCTGCACCAGATGTGACACTAGCCATGTGTCTTGTGCCTCTTAGCTTCAAGTACCTGTGATTTGATGGTGTCATAAGGCTTTCGATTTTATTTTGAGTTGGGTTTTTTAAGATTCTACAACACTCATTAGGGTCAGAAGTGAATCTGATACTTGATTTCCCTCTAATCCCAAATAGAATCACGCTCGCTTCACTTTTCTATTCACAATGAAAACATATCAGAAGGAAAGGAAAAGGGCATACCAGCCATCATTTTCTAGGATTCTCATGACCTAATTTTAAATTATTTGTTTTCAATGTCCATCATATTCATGTTCCCTGTATCCAAGACAGTCGTTTCTTCGATTTTAGGGATAAAACAGTATGATTACCCTGTTTAGAGGGATTTCATCTCTGCCGTTTGTTTACTTTTTTTGGGGTTAAGTTTTTGTTTTCGTGACATGGATCAAAGGATAAGGAGAGTCCAGCGAAGGGGAGACTACTGGAAACTATTTATAGAGCGACATCACACAGAAAATCAGTAATACACCAGAATGCATCATGCATCATGAACTGGTGATAACATTACATCAACTAACACCAGTTATAGTTGCTAAAATTTCAAACTAGTATTGTCATGTCAAACAATGACCCCTGGAGGACGGCCTATTAGAGAACCATTGATACATACTTACACAAACTATTTACCATGTGAAATATCAAAGAACTTCAGTTCACTAAATTGTCTTGTTCTGAGCATATTAGTATCTGAATTCCGTGCTTTATGCATATTTGCCAAGTATGATTTTTTAAGCAATGAGAATTGAAAAACAACCCATTTCTCCTAACGTGACATGTTGTCCTGTCTGGATCAATCCTTCTACATGTATTAGGTTTCATCAATACACTGTTCAGTCATATATGTCATTGCTTGGATTAGTATTAGAACGATTCCCTATTTGAACTCGTCTTTGACTTTGCCAAGAGTACATGACAAACATGCATCCATTACTGGTCCTAAAACAAAAACGGACTACTTTGGCAAAAAAAAAAGTTTCATTTCATTTCAAAAAAGAGTTTGATGTTCTGCATAAAAAATGATTTCTTAGCCTTAAATTCCATACAATAGGTAGTGGTCTGGGTGAAACCTTTCTAATGGAGCTAATATGAAAATATATCTGATTCAAGTTTGGTACGATATTATTGGAGTGACTTACCCGCACACTTAAAGCTAATTACACATTAACATCAGATCTCAAATTGCCAAAAAATATAACAATTTTATCATATTGTTATGTTTTAGTTTCCCTTTTAGATCAAAAGAGGTCAGAGACCATCAATTTAATCCAAAGTAACCTGGAACTTCTACTAGAGTCTTGGTGCTTCTACATGGGAGATTATCTTCATAGTGGAATAATTTTGTTAATATTGCCAATACAAAAACACAAAATGGTCCGTGTATAAAGTTGATTAACTGTTTTATTATGAACCAACTTAATCATCATTTTCTTCAGCCTACAGTTCTATTAATGATGATAAACCATTCTGACACCTTCACCATGGCATCAGAGAGAATGCTGCTCTCTAAAACATGATTGTTACTGTAAAATAGACACACACAATTCAACATACACCTTAACGCTCTATCAATCAATCAAACAATGCCACTAACACACTGTATAGCAAATGATTCTGGTCAGGTCCTGCTGTAGACACACAGCACAGGACGAGATCAGGGGATGATGGCCAATGACATGATATTTATCTTACATACTTTCATAATGATAACACTTTCCTCTGCATAAAACCTGCTGTATCAGAATATGTTCCCCATTAATTTAAATAATGCCATTATGAGAATTATGAATGTAGATTTTACACACATGTATTAAAGCAAAAATAACTGCAAAGTTTTGATATAAACATTTCTTAATCATACCATACTTTAAAAGTTTACCCAACAAGTTATTTCAATTAAATTTCACCTTTTAAAGTCAGCTTCAACATCAGTGTTGTCATAATCAAGCACCACATTACACAGATTTTATGTACTTTTGAAACCAAGATACTAACATTACACAGATTTTATGTACTTCTGAAACCAAGATACCAAAATTTATCTTATACTTTAATCAGCATTCAATGATTTTAGCAAATAATCTGAAAATATTTCAAACTGTTTCACAGACACAGTCAATTTACTTAATATATTGAAATGCTGTAACAGCTATAATCCTAGGAAAGAATATATGTAATATATAATTAATCTCGAATTTCTTGTGACAATGCTCCATCTGTGAAAATTAAACTATCCAAAAATGCCAATTAAAAGTATGATACAAGTTAATGTTTGTCTGTGTATATAGACGAAATATATTAATAGTGGCTGTAAATATAGGTGTTGATGAAACTGATGCAATTAGTACATCATGCCATTTCTGTATTTCGAGAATTAAGATAAATTTGAAATGAAGTACATGTATGCATGCTCAATTAATCAAACATATACTTAAATTGCAGTCTAGCATGATAGGAACTTTTTCATCTCATTCATAACCAGAAATATTTGTTTTTACTTCTTAAATCTGTAATTTAAAGACCAAACATTAAACAATTTACTAAAACATTATCTAAGATTACAAACAATCTAATGCAGAAGATTAAACGCCTCACATTTACATTATTCGGTCTTGAAAGTTAAAAGTGGCATTTTAATTCCAACAATTCATTAGAAATATATGCACGCAACAGTTTAACTGCTATTTGTTATCTTAAAACAAAATTGACAAATAACTTGCACATCAATAACAATTTACTGTACTTCAATGAGAACATGTTTTGTGGCTCTATCATACTTCAATCACCTTACAACACTAACACACCGGATTGCTGCCAGTCCCGTACAAACAGAATGACAATAACTAGTCATTAGTATCGATAATACGGTCTAGGAGGTCTTCTGTGGGCATCATATGGCTCTGGATATGGCCTTTTAGGGGGAGGTGGGCCCCCATACGGGCCTCTGTAGTACTGATCTCTGTATCGGTCATAGTATTCCCTGCCTTGATCAGGAGGACGGGCAAAGCGATCATAGTCACCACGATCATCATACGGCCTCCTCTCATGAGGTGGAGGAAAGTCATCATGGTGGCGACGCTGGCCACCCACATGTCGAATATCGTCTGGATCAAGTTTGTCTGCTGGTTCCCTAGGATTACTGTCTATGGTACTTATCTGTGTGATGATGTTATCGTTATTGTTCTCCTGGTTATTTATATCTTCAGCACTTTCAGATTCGTTAGGTTCCTCAAGATCCACAGGTGTAATTGTAGTCAGGTTAGACCGAGAAACATTACGTGTGAACACAGGAATTCTGGACTCTTCGTCTTCTTGATCCATGGATGGAGGAGCAGGCCGAGTCATATTACTTGTAGTTTTCCTCTTTAGTTTTTCTAGAAATTCTTTGTGGTCATCTGGCACATGACCTGTAGAAGAGTCTGAATCCTCCCGCGATAAACGTAGAGACCTTATATGATCTGGACTTGGAGGTTCCATAGGAGGTTTCGGAACACGTAAATTCATGGGGGAATGTTCTACAGGATCCCCAGGACTAGGGGTAAGTGGCACCTCTCTCAAACTAGATTTTCTGTTTCTAAGAATACTTTTAGGAGGTGCAGAGGGAGGAGTTGGGGGTGACTGCAATGGAGATGTGGGGGAAGATGACTGATCCTGCTGGACAGGTGGCCCACCCTGGGGGGGACCCTGTGTTTGGTTCCACGGGGGAGATGAACTATGGTTTGTCTGTCCCTGGAATCCACCAGCAGGTTGACCAAGGAAACCAGGACGCAGTATAAAATGGGGTTGTTGGGAAACTGGGCTTTGTGGTGGACCATGTATGGGGCCAAGATTTGGCGGAGGAGGCCCCTGCTGTGGCCCCTGAGAGGTAGAGCCTTGAGGAGGACCAAGGGGAGGACCCTGAGGGGCGCCATGAGGAGGCTGGGGAAAATTCCATCCATCAGGTCTGACAGGCGGGGGAATTTGGTTAGATGACAAAGAGGTTGCAGGATACCCAATGTTTGGAGGTCTTACTGGCGAGATAGGTGGTGGGATGGGAGGTGGTCTAATGGCTGTGGGTGGGGATAGCATGCTACGAACAGAAGGCTGGAGGGAGTTCCTCATTTGGGGAGGAATAAGGAGCTGAGGAACAGAGGGACGAGACATGGGGTCCTGTGCTAGGGGCACAGGAGGCTGTGAAGATGGCATGTTCTGGGGCTGTGACATTATAGGAGGCTGCGACATAGGGGGCTGGTGAGGGGGTGGCTGGGAGACAACAGGCATAGGAGGAGGAACACCTGTTGGAGGTTGGGGAGTGGGGTCTCGCTGTGCCTTCCACTCAGCCCAGGAGTTGGGGGGCTGTGGGGGTGGGCCAAGAGGTGGCTGAACACCGGGTGCAGGAATCGGTCCAGGAGGTAGAACGGGCTGATTCATATTCCCTTTTTGAAACTGAGATTTTACAGTACTTGTCAAAAGCGATAAATTTTGAAGAAAATTTGACCCAGTTTCTGAACCTTTAGTAGTTTTGGACAAAATCTGTGTAAGAAAGTCTATGGGATTTTGATTCTTTGGTCTTGGAGGTGAACTGTCTGGCTTTTCATCCATAACTGGTGTTGCGCTTCCTTCATCTTTGACTGGAGTGTTCTCCCCATCATTGCCATTCTCTAACTGGATGGCCCTCAGGGCACTGTGTTTTGGTGGTGGATTATAGACTGGGGGAGGGTTGTATACCAAACTGTCACCTGAGGAGCTGTGTCGCACATCACCTGTGTGTTGCTGTAGAGAAGGAAGCATTGTAGCTAGCCTGGACTCCAGGCCACTGTCTCCTACAAAACATAAGCAACATCATCAGATCTACACGCACCAGTTCATTCACAAATAACGGTTTTATCCTCTTTATAATAGTTGTGGCATCAAAATTTGTTCTAGATAATCATTACTTTGTCAAAATTTGTGTTTTACAAGGGTGCTGGTAAACCAAGTTGCTTACACAAGGATTAAAGAGCCCCGATCAATAAGGTTCTTTGAAACTTGTTTTTATCGTGACCTGGAATATATAGTCCCTAGGAACACAGTTTTGAAGTCCCTAGCGGCATAGCAGTTAAACTGTTATCATTACCAGCTCTATATTAATTATTTGGTACAACCGCAGACTTTATGAGTTGGTAACTAACCGGTAGCATAATATTGTAATATCAATTACCTTTACTCGCAGAAGGACTAGAGGTGTAGGCATTTTCTGCATTGTAGTTTGGCATGGAGACCCGGTCTGCCATAGGGACTGGTGCTCCTGCTGTAATAGGAATTATACAATATAAAACACTTTTCATCTATTTAAAAAAAAAAAAAGGTATGAAATAACTTGAATTCAAGTGCTTTATTATTCCTTTCTTGTTGAAGCTATGAAAATAATTAAACAACAGCTATTAGAGAACTGCACAGCTCGCCAATTTGAAGACAAGGCTAGAAAATAGATTCCAGCTGGTATGTAAGTTCTTTTATCTATATTTCATTTCTCTGTTTTATTCTTGCACAAGCACATGTACTAAGGTACATGGAGATCATGCAAATTAAGGTGCAACGTGATCTTTTAAACAGTTGAGAAAAGTTGAGAAAAAAAACATCACATGCAAAATATTAGATGGCTACTTGGCAGCCATATATTTTTTCAAACTATATAAAAATAAAGCAAGCACAACAATAGACCAAAATTAACTTCACATGATAATGTAATGCAAAAAACTAACTGTGATCAATGAATTAAAATCATGTAGGTCACAGTGACCTATATTTGTTACTTGTATTAATATTCCTTAAAATGTTTCCTTTCAATGTAAAGGCATTTTGGCGGTACAACGAGTTTGGCGGTACAACGAGTTGTCCCATTTAAATGACAGGTAGATGAACGCTTGTTTGTTTTGGGGCACATATCCAACACTTACCAATGAGAACTCAAATATACATGTATATATGCAATTTTTGATACACAGTTTTACATGCCCGTATTTACAGATTTACTTTCAATCGTCAATTTATGTATGCATAGTGATACCAATATTTACATTTCTCTACTTCAAATGCCATAATTTCTGTACGTCAAGACTCTGTAGTCAAGTGTAAGTGTTCGACTAAGTAAAGAACCGTCTCGCTATCATCAAATCAATCCTTTTTTTGAGAAGCCATGTGAGAAGCCATATGTGAATGAATGAATAAATAACCGACAGAGGTGATATGGTAAATTGTTTTCAAATGTAAATTAATAAATTGATTAGACACAGATACCATACGTAATAACAACATCTTAAACTGACCCACGGGGCTCACTTAGCTGTGAAATCAACGACACAGGTAAATTTCTGTGACGTAGCGTGGCGGTGTTCTTGGGGCCAACAAAGGGATAATTGCACGACTGTTCTCAAAACATTGTGGCGGATGACGGTACTCAAGTTTGGCGGTACAACGGGTGCATTTAAGTGTGGGGAAATCGGTTATGACAAAATTGATGGAGGTATGCGAGTTTGGCGGTAGAACGGGTGGCGATACATCGAGGTTATACTGTATAGAGTTTATTGAATGCTTACTAGTATTTGAGTTGTGGGACTGAACACTAACCAAGATATCCAGAAAGAGGTAAGCACAGACGAATGCTCCCAGGGGGGGGGGACGATGGTGTTGTTGTGATAAGTGGCGATACACCGAGGTTATATTGTATAGAGTTTATTGAATGCGTACTAGTATTTGAGTTGTGGGACTGAACCCTAACCAAGATATCCAGAAAGAGGTAAGCACAGGCGAATGCCCCCAGGGGGGGGGGACGATGTTGTTGTTGTGATAAGTGCTTTTATTTCTTGCAGGCAATAATTTCAATTTCTCTCAAAGAGGAATTCCTTTATACATACAGACAATGTGAGGAGCATTCTCATTTTCTTCGTCCAATTCCATGTCCACAGCCTCATTGTCGTCATCTTGGAGCTGGGGCGGTGTGTTCCCTGGAGAAGGAGCATCCATGGAAGGAGACGGAATCGGACTAGGCAGTGATCCCTTCAAGTCATCCAACTTCTTCCTCAAATTATTGATTCTTGTTCCAAAATTCTTATAGGCCTGGCAAAACATACAATCAAGAGTACATGTTACCATTATCCAACATTCAGTTGTCTATTAGCAAATGATACAATACAAAATACATGACCATTAGTTCAAGATAAAGTAGCAAATACTAAATTCATGATGACCCAAAACAATCTATTTTCTGTTTTAATAGGTAAGAAGTACCACACATTTGCAGAGAGTACATGTTTTTGTTAAGACAAACACATCCACAAGGGTACGCGACATTGCAACATACATGACTGTACATAGTTTTCTTTCCCTTAATCTTTTTTTATTTGCCAACTTGTCAATAAGCTCAGTGGGCTACAACAGGTAGGAGTTCTTAATACTGGGGTAATATACAGAAATGCAAAACTTTGTATTGAATGGATTGCCCAAATATCATCAGATTCACCAGGTATGTAAAGTAAAGAGGATCATACATTTCACTGAGGTAAGACTAACCAATTTTAATTGAGGAAAAAGGTCAAAATGAAGATATCAAGTGTGATGATCTTTGGTAAAATAAGGAGGGAGATATGCTCCAGACATGTGATATCTGACGTGTTTTCACTTCCATTTATTTTTATTTTTTTGACACACTGCTGAAACTACCAGAGCTTTGTCTTGTAAACAAACACAAGTCTTTCCTTATAGCCAGTATTATATTTGACTGGAATTTAAATTTGCCTTTGACCTTCAGGTAAAAATCAAAGAGAAATAACTGCTGTGCACTGCATACCTGTGGCTAATTCAGGTATACTTGAAGCCAATAACATTTTGAAAGTTAAATTGATAAAACTTTTCACTGATTTGACCTTTGACTAGAGGTTAAGGTTAGGGTAACATAATCATAGTGTAATGCCACCATCTACAGATGACGAAGGTATATCAAAATAACTTTTAATTAAAAGTTAAGGCAAAGCCAAGAATATATAAGAGAACCTGAAGAAAATGAACAAGGACTAATACATGTCTCCTTTCATTTGAAACGGAGACGTAATAATGATGGAAATATACTCTGCTCGTGCCATTACCCTATTACCCCAACGGCATTGTTGTAGGGGAAAGCCATGGGAACCTAAAGCCATTTACAAATCTATTCAGTGTTTTTTACAAATGTTCATATCACAAATTTCATGTAATGAGTGTTAAGACACTGATAACAAGGTAGTTATGTAATAAGTATTTCTTAGCATGAAATTAGTAGTGTTCAAATAGGAGTTTTCAGATATTTTTCTTTCCTCATTTTCTATTATAACATTATTCAAATGTCCTTACACAAATTATCTCACTTACATTGGCTACAATTTTTGCCTCCCTGTACTGTTCGTCGTAGAAGAGTTCACTCTGCTCCATCAGTTGGATGAGAGACTTTCTATCGTTGATCTCCCGCTCTGCGTGTGCCACCCAGTCCTCCAGTTTGTGACTGGAATCTTCAAACTGTTTGGAGAACTGCTTTCCATGGGACCGATCTGTTAAAAAAAAAAGTGTGATAATACGAATCCAGATCTATACTTCCAGACACTACAAAGAAAAACAATATTAACATTATATGAATTAAAACAAAAACTTAGTCATGTCGCTTTTATTGATACATTTGAAAATGTGAATGATTGTTAGTTATTCACTATGTCTTTGGGGTGTAATTGAATCTGTTGCATCATGGGAAGAAAAAAAAAGGAATGTTTTTTGTTCAATTTTTGAATTGCCTTCTAGATTTCTGTAAAATCAAAGTAGGAACACTAATCAATATCTCATTTTCTTAGTACAAGGTAGTTGACACAAACAATAGATTTGTTGGCTACTGACACTTTATTGTTTGTCATGCACAAATGTTTCAAGCAAATGAAACAAAATAAAGAATTTAAAAAAGACATTGAGACAGAAACAATTCTAAAGGTAAGTAACTACAGACTCATCTTTTCCCTGTTTTTGTATGCATCATTCTAATTAACTTTCACAATATTCTCAATATTCAATTGGAAGTGCAAACTTCATATTTAACATCAGTTTTATCTCATAGTTTAAGTGACTAAAATAATTCAAAATTCAATAACAGCTGTATTAGTAATCCATACCTTAGCAAAGATAGATAAATTTGTGAACCAATAATTATAACATTTGCAATTTCATAAACCTGACAAAAACATGACATTTTATTGGAGATTTGGCTGTGTGTCAGCTATTACTACATTACATGTTAAAGGTAATCCTCTGATTTTACAGTGACTTATGTGACAAGAAAACAACTCACATCTTTGCTTGTTAGATGGTCCTGGTCAGTGTTACACAATAGAAAATACAGTGCCATAAAAATCCAAGAATTCTTAGTTTAAAAATCAAACTGGTGAAATTTCAAGATTCACAGACTTCATTACAAACCCATCATAAAATAATAAAATTTAAGTACATGATACAATTTCTTATCCACAACTTCCAAGGATGACAATCTCCAGTTATCTCCCTTTACCTATGACAAATTTATCAAAATTTCTCTTGTAACACCCGATTTTAGTAGGCCACCTCTTTTTTTTTTCTTTTCTTCCCCACAATTTGAGGTTGAAATTTGGAAATATAAATTTATTATTTTCTTGAATATTTGAAAAAACTATGCTCTACCACAATTTTGTTGCAAAAATACAAATAAACCTGCAGTGTGCCTAACAGTATCCATCCCTTGTAATTATCAAACAGATTCTATATTTAAGTATGAACACAATCAGTTCAATAGCAAACTTCAATTATTTGGACCAGGTTAATACGTTATTATTCACAATACAAATAATTTATTTTGATAATGAAAATTTAAGTCCGCTTTTATCATTTCTCTGTATACATTTTGTAATGACAATCTCATACCAAGGGAACAACAGTTTTATGAAGGTCAAGATCTCCTAGACCTCAATTGTCATGCCTCAATTTTTGAAATGTCACTCTCTGCAAACTAAGATGTGGGACATTTAAAATAGGTACTATTGTACTGCATCTCACAGCATGATCATAAAAGGGAACTAAAGTCAGATCTCCTGCAGAATTTTGGGGTTTTCGTCAGTGCCCTTCTCTTGCAGACACACAGGAGATTAAAAGTGATCTTCTTTCCTTATTGCAACACTTCAGACCTCTGACTTCTTCCTATTTAACTTTTCTACTATTTCTTTTTTGAATTGACTCTATTGGTTAGCCTGTTGTCAGAATAATGAGACTCAGTGCAGTATCATGCTACATTACCATGTCCTGGTTAGGACATTTCAGTGAAATGGCACTTAAAACATTGTTATCAAGTTTGAAGGAATTTGGCTAATATTTGCTCGAGTTATTAAGCGGAAACTGCGTATAATGATGTTTTTCGTTAATGAAGGGGCCATAATTCTGCCAAATGGAGACTGATTAAAGTGGTTGCGTAAATTTGCCAAGCCCTTAATGCATTGAACCCTGTTACTTAGTTTGAAGACAATCGGATAATATTTGCGAGAGTAAATGAACAGAAACTGCAGATAATGATGTTTTTCGTTATTCAAGGGGCAATAACTCTGCTAAATTTAGTCCGCTGAAAGTGGTCATCAAACTTGGCTGAGCCCTTAAGTCATTCAACCCTGTTACCAAGTTTGAAGAAAATCGGTAAACATTTGTTGTAGTTATTGCCAGAAACGGCAGATAATGTTTTTCGTTATTCAAAGGGCCATTTCTCCGCCAAATCAAGTCTGCTGAAACTGGTCATCAAACTTGGCTGAGCCCTTAAGGCATTAAACCCTGTTATCAAGTTTGAATAAAATCGGTTAGTATTTGTTGCAGTTATTGCATGGAAATGAAGCGTGACAGACAGACAGACGCACAAACCAAAATTAATATCCCACGTTTCGGTGAAAGCGGGGGATAACAATGTTACTCATCATTCACTGGCAGCTATCTTCAGTGTTCCGACCAGAAGTGATGCGCAGAAATATGTGTGCATAGTGATGCCAACACATTAGAGTGAAGTGAGACAACCAAAATTGGTGGCCGTATCTCATTGCACAAAAAACGGTTTCGGTTCAGGTAAGCAAACATGGTTATCCGAGTGGCATTTTTTCTGACCATTGCAGCCCTATACTATTATAGCTTAAAAAACTTATAATATGGGACAGCCGTGACAGAAAATCATAGCATAGAAAGTCCAGTTCATCATCAAGCAAAGATGGACACAACAACTGGACAACTGTTGTTATATGAAGACTGTAACGGTACTGTTACGCATTAATTTTGAGCCGCTACGCATCGCCATTTTACCGTTACGCATGCATTTGACTGTTACACATCAACTGACAAGTTCTCACAAATCGTGATAGGCCTAACCTCTTCTCCCCTTGTCAATTAGACTCAACCGCATTAGACTAGCTTTTTATAGTTCTCTACGATCGACACCCTGATCAACAAACTCTTCCCTGCAGGTAGATTTACCTGTGGGGGTTTTGAACTACGTATAAGTGTGAAACGTGAACAATAGACCACAATTACCAGTGTGTCATTGTCTAATTATAATTAATGATGTCTGTTAATTATCAAGGCTTCAATCTACGTTTTGATATTCATAGGTGACTTACAACAAAAATAATAAATATAAACACAGATGTTCAGCATGTAGGACCTAGCTTTCAGTAAAATGCCAAGCGTCTACTGGTCTACCTTAGTGTATTGTTTTCAGCCATAACATTTTAATACTTGAAATAAGTAAGCTATGTGAGAAGCTTTTATCAACAAAAGACTGTCGATACAACTTTTAGAAAACTTTTTTAAGTGAGCAGACTGCACGTGGCGGCCATGTTATTTTGATAACCTGAATAATGTTACGTAATCCGTGATGCAATTGCTTTTGAAACATGAACATTGTTGTGATAAAATTCAGATTGTTTTTGTTTACTTAATGAAAACAGATAGCTAGGCCTGGTTAATTTCATAGCTAAGGGATTTTTTTTAAACTGAATTTTAAAAATAAATCATGGATTTAAAAATTAATCAATAATTTGTCAAAATAAATACCTTTGGTTGGAATGTTATAATTCATTTATTCTCAGACATTTATTCATTTATTTCTATGATGATATTCTTGGAAAACAATGCTTAAGTATTTGCTAAAATTATCCATTTTCTTGAGTTAGATAATATTTTTTGTAGGTATTCAAAAAAAAAAAGGGCAAGAATTGAGCAATAATAACGCAATGTCAGGTTAAAGTAATGCTTTTTATTTAGAATTAACTTTATAAATTATTAATTTTTTACTCTTGTTTAGGGTTTCTTTCTCAAAATGGCTTCGTGCAAGATTGATGGGTTGTGACGTGGAAATGGTTCGCAGAACTGCGCTGTGATGGAAGGGTTAAAAAATAGATGCCATAGCGCATCAAAATATTTCTGGGGAGAACACTGGAGATATTGACAGACCTAGTTTGTATATACAAAGGAAGAACCATCTACAATTGTATGAGTGAAAGATACTGTTTTTGGTATGTTTTCATCGAAAAATTTATATAAAATCAAAATTTTGAAAGAGAGGTATAATAAATGTGTTTATCCACCACACACCACAGAGTTTATAAATACTGTTCCCTGCTAATCAATGTTGGCAGTCAGTAGCCTTACCCTTTAGTTGTTTGATTGCTTCTATACTGGAGGCGTCTAGCTTGAGACTTGACAATTGTTTACATTTAAGTTCCACCTCTCCTTCCAAACGCTTGAAATTGTTGATACGATCAATAAGGGTTTGTGGCTGCAAGAAAACAATAAGGTTAAAGAGTTCTTTATGTAAATATTGGTGTGTTCCAACATCATAACTGTCTCAAGGCAAAACTGTTCAATAAAAAGGATTCATAACAGACGCACATATCTTTAAATTGCTCACAGAAAATAATGCTCACAAAAAAACAATACAAGAATCATTTATATTCAATTCAAAATGGTATATTTTTATCAGTGGCATCCAGTCAAATGACTTTATAACACATAGTTGATGATAAATTGTTTTGTTGAAATATGAAGCATTGACTGGTTGCTGTAGGCAGTGACTGTTGTATCAGAAGACTGATAACATGTTGCTGTATCAGACAGTGACTGATAACATGTTGTTGTATCAGGCAGTGACTGATAACATGTTGCTGTATCAGACAAAGACTGATAACATGTTGCTGTATCAGACAGTGTCTGATAACATGTTGTTGTATCAGGCAGTAACTGATAACATGTTGCTGTACCAGACAGTGACTGATAACATGTTGCTGAATCAGACCGATACTGATAACATGTTGCTGTAACATACAGAGATTGATAACATGTTGCTGTATCAGGCAGGGACTGATAACATGTTGCTGAATCAGACCGATACTGATAACATGTTGCTGTATCATACAGTGACTGATAACATGTTGGTGTATCAGGCAGTGACTGATAACATGTGGCTGTATCAGACAGAGACTGATAACATGTTGCTGAATCAGACCGATACTGATAACATGTTGCTGTATCAGACAGTGACTGATAACATGTTGCTTATCAGGCAGTGACTGATAACATGTTGCGGTATCAGGCAGTGACTGATAACATGTTGCTGTATCAGACAGTGACTGATAACATGTTGCTGTATCAGACAGTGACTGATAACATGTTGCTGTATCAGACAGTGACTGATAACATGTTGCTGTATCAGACAGAGACTGATAACATGTTGATGTATCAGACAGAGACTGATAATATGTTGCAGTATCAGACAGTGACTGATAACATGTTGCTGTATCAGACAGTGACTGATAACATGTTGCTGTATCAGACAGTGACTGATAACATGTTGCTGTATCAGACAGTGACTGATAACATGTTGCTGTATTTAGATAGAGACTGATAACATGTTGCTGTATCAGACAGTGACTGATAATATGTTGCTGTATCAGGCAGTGACTGATAACATGTTGATGTATCAGACAGAGACTGATAACATGTTGCTGTATCAGACGGTGACTGATAACATGTTGCTGTATCAGGCAGTGACTGATAACATGTTGCTGTATCAGACAGAGACTGATAACATGTTGCTGTATCAGACAGTGACTGATAACATGTTGCGGTATCAGGCAGTGACTGATAACATGTTGCTGTATCAGCCAGGATCTTTGGATTAGCCTTGGCTATGGTATGGACTGGAATGGGTGGAATAGTGCTCTATTAATTCATTATTTACCTTGAAATCAGCAAGAATCTTTGGATCAGCCTTGGCTCTGGTGTGGACTGGTGTGGGTTGACTCGTAGGTGTGGGTTGACTCGTAGGTGTGGGTTGACTCGTAGCTGTAGGTGCTACAGCAGCTGCTGATATTGATGTAGTTGGAGCATTGGTTACCACTGGTGATGGACGCACAGCAGAGAAAGGTGATGTAGTTGCTGGGGAAAGAATTGATTTATGATCTAATTTTTTCTCCAGTACAACACATCATTTCATATTAAAAATGTTTTATGTTTTGCTATTGATTTGTCTGACTGACCCATGATCTCAACATACAACCAGCCATGAGAATTGTTGCACCCAGACTTCCACCAATGCCCATTTTGATAAACATTTGAGTACAGTACTTCTCGAAATTCTAATTGTAATTTTACTCAATATATCTCCTTCATTCAATATATGGTTTTCACCGGTAACCCATTTTCAACAAGTTGGCCTTCTGCTTAGAAATTGTCATATTAAAATTGAAAGTGACATATTTTAAACAAAAGCTATACTGATGTTTATGTAGTGCTTTAAATTGGAGCCAGAAATCGATGCAACATTTCAGCATTGGCTTATGTAAATGAAGCAATTTTTGTTGTTGCTTTATTTAAAACAGGTGCATTATACGAATTAATTCAGGTCAATGCTTACAGACAATGTAGTTCCAATTATTCACAATCTACTTGCAAAATGCATCTCAATTTTAAGAATATGCAAGTTACAATATATCTCACTCAAAAGTTTCCTTAAGTAGTTTTTTGGCCTTTTCGAAAAATATTTATATTAACCCCAAATAATATCTCCTTAGTCTCATCAAATCATGGACTACATGTCTTTGTCTTTCGCTATGTGTTTGATATACTCAAATGTTAGTTACCACATTATATTTAATGAAAAGAACAGTTATGTGAGTGAATTTCTAATTAGCTGTTGAAATTCACAATCAATTGCAATAGTTTCATAGTGGCTAAAATACATGTAGATGGTTTCCAAACTTTTATTTGCCAGTAAAGCCTGCGTAACAGTCTTCTACAGCTTGTGATCATGGTATTAAATAATGGCCCTACATCACGTCTATATGAAGTCTACATGCTCTAACACTATATGCCAGATTGACATTTCAATACAGCGCAATATGTTGGTGCAAGTCAAATTAATTTGTATACCAAGAGCTTGGCATAAAGTATTGTCATTGTCTGCATTTTTTATAGATGGTTGTGATACAATTCTTACTCAAGGTATCCTGAAGCTCTGTAACAAAAGCTGCAGGGAAGATACTTCTTTCCTTCCATATTTTCAATATCCTTGTTACATTGTTTCTGATGCTGTCATCCCTGTGAGAAAAACAAAGGAAATATTTAATCAATCATAAGATTTATGATTTTTTTCACCACAGTTGTATGTGTCAATCTGACAGAATAAAGTTTCACATTGAAATAGAATATCCTAGTGGGTGATTTCACATTGAAATAGAATATCCTAGTGGGTGATTTCACATTTCAGTACGGGATCAATGAAGGTGTTTCAATCTAAAGATGTACAAGAATCAGAGAGTCAAACTTTCACCCTTCATTAGTAAAATCTATATCCACCCAGCGTTAATTTTCCCTTTCCCATGTATTATGTAGACATGTGGTTTACTGCAGTGATGCGTTTGTTCTAATAACTGGGGCTTAAAAGCCAAAAGCTTATAGTACCACTTTTATTATATTACATATTCAAGAGAAACTTTACTTTTAGTAAAGCAATGTAATGGAGACAATATGGTAAGTAAATAGATATATGTACATCAGAGCTAGTGTCAATTTTTTCAAAATTTGTGTTCCAACCAGGCTGTTAGAGTCATCTCAGATGATAAAAGGCATATATATATACATATATATGTACTTTCACATATCTGGCATTGTTTGATCAGAGTTACCCTTATAATAACTGGGTACCCTTATAATAACTGGGTACAAGTCATGCAATATTTACCCAAATGGTCATTCAAGACGTACCTAATTGGGCTCCCTTCCATTTTTTATTTGTTTTGTTCAATTTGATATGAGAATTAGTGTTGGGAATCGGACAGAAAATTACAATCGATTAAACGGAAGCCTAAAAACCGATTGACTATCGATAGTTCAATCGGTTTGTATGACACGTGCAGAAAAAGTCAGAAAATTAATGTATCTATTATAAAAATATATATGTAATATGTATTTGTTGTATTGTGTAGTTTCCTAATGTATACTTGTGTTGTTTTGGTTTTAAATTACATAATTTTAAGTGTACATTAACACAATAGCACTTATTTTGCTTAAGACTGCACTAGCTAGTAATCCTTTATCATTATGTAGTATGTTTTACTGCTTCTGTATGCACCTTTTGGCCTTTAGTCACCCTCTGTAGTATGCTAACCTGCATGTAACATAACTGCAAGGTGATTGGATGGCTTTGTAATAGTACTTACTTAAACATGTTCAGTACTCACTAATACTTGTTTTCCAAAATTTATTTTCATATGTGTATCATGACTATAAACATAAGATTTTATGTTGAGAGTAAATACATCACAGAAAATACAAACTACAAAGTGTTAGAAAATAACTTCATTTGTTTATTTTCAACAGTCAGTCAATCAGCTAACGTAAATAACCTTCTTCTTTAGGGTGTAGGGGGGCCTCTAACGAACTATGCCATTTCAAAGAAATTTGCCATTAGTTTTGTTTTTCAATCAACTATTTCAAAATACTTGGCCATTCAGAAAATTTTAATTTCAAAAAGCTTTTAGATACTATATCGGTGTAATTTATATCGAATTTACCTTTGTTGGCTTAGCTTTTCTTACATAGCCTACAAATGACAGTTGGCATGTCTAAATTTGATTTTATTGCGGGTCCCACCAAATCTCCTTTTTTTCCGGAACATGAACTGTTTCCATACGGCTGATTTAACTGTCCCTGGATAGGGATACAATTGCAATTGCTAACAGCAGCTGTGGCTGTCATTTTTTAATCATGACCACGAGGCGACAGTGATCTCCCTTTCCATAGTTTCGTGCAAGTGGTGTTAATTACCGTGAAGGATATTTTCGAACTATCGATAGTGACAAGTTTTCAATCGATTGTCGCCGACGTCACACCTGAGCGATAGTCTTCGATTATTAGCGACAATCATCCCAACACTAATGAGAATGGTATAGATAACGTTGTACATGTTAATGAATCTTGGGCAATCTCCTACCTGGTACTTTAACCAAGTCACTGAATGGTGTTGATAACGTGGTACATGTTAATGAATCTTAGGCAATCTCCTACCTGGTACTTTAACCTAGTCACTGAATGGTATTGATAACGTGGTACATGTTAATGAATCTTAGGCAAACTCCTACCTGGTACTTTAACCTAGTCACTGAATGGTATTGATAACGTGGTACATGTTAATGAATCTTGGGCAATCTTCTACCTGGTACTTTAACCTAGTCACTGAATGGTATTGATAACGTTGTACATGTTAATGAATCTTGGGCAATCTTCAACCTGGTGCTTTAACCTTGTCACTGAAATGTCAGCATTGTGTGCAAAACAATAATTTAAACGACTACCAAACCAAAAATTAAACTTACTTTGTTTTGGTCTTTTGTGTGTCTAAATTTCAAAAGATTTTTTTTTTTTTTTTTTATCCGATTATGGTCCAACTTTTGTTTTACAAGTTATATATTTAGTCCTGTGTAGCTTGGCACACACTGTGTCAGTTTCATAAAATAAACTTTTAGCTTAAGTTAACTACCAGACTGATTATGTTGTAAATTTGTATGTACAACAATAGTTTTACCATGCTTTAACTGAATGTGATACAGCTTCCTATAATACTTAGGCCTCACCTAACTAGTAAAACATGATTTCCTTATGCCTCGGCCTTACCTGACTAGTGGACATGAAACCCCTTCCTATTATACCTTGGCCTTACCTGACTAGTGACATCGCTTCCTTCAGTACCTCCTTGAATCCTTCCAAGTAAATCATTGCCTTCTTCCTTTTACCATTCTGGACCACATCATTGCAAACATTGAAGAGTGTTAGCCTATGTTTTGTCGTTGCTAAAATAATAGATGGCATATCAATCATTAAGTAAATTAAGGAATGCATTTTTTTTTATAAATTTAAATTACTAGCTTACAGTCAAAATACAAGATGAAAATTAAAGATTAAATACAAACTGAAATCTGGATCTTTTAAGGGTTTATTTTTTGACAATTTGACAATAGTTTTATGTATGGATTAATATGCACGATATGAAACTTTCAATTGACGCTACGTGCAAACAAGATTTTGGGCAAACGACCCATATTCAACTAGTCCGCTTATAAACTGACTATAATCACAGCCTCCAAAATTTGAATCGCTCACTTGCTAGTCAGCTATCTATTGCTCTATGGATACATTGTGTATAATTCACCCAACTCCAGCAACAGCCATTTTGAGAGTGTTACATGTTTGCTGGGGAAACCAATTACACCTATGTCCAACCTCTACACATTCAGGGTGCTACATCCTTTAGTTTGAATGAAGTGCTGTTGTCTGCTCACATCGACAACCATCTTACCTATATTAATATGTATCGGTCAATCAGAACTGTTTCCAACAATAAAACTTGTTGACAAGTCAAAACCAAAACAGGTATCAGTTTACCTTTTCCTCACGGTCTAAGTTTTTTTAATTATAATGTTAAAAAGTGCTGTTAATACCAAAGCGGCTTTCACATGTGTACCAAAAATGCAAATCACCCAAATAAAAAATAAATGATTTCAAACTGTTAACTTTGTCTATTAAAAAAATTGCTGTGTAGCATGTTTTTTGGTTTACTTTTGATGAAATTAACAGAAGTCATTTTTATAGGCTTGTGCAACGTCCTACTGATGTTGGTAAGATGGCTGTCAATGGGAGTAGTGGACAGCAGTACTTCAATCTAAATAATCAATGTAGCATTCATAAGGTGTCAAGTAGGAGCACATGACATGTAGTCAAGTGAGTGGGAAATGAAATTACTAACATATATTTTTCCAACATAAATTCAAATTATCCAAAATCACTGTCACAAGACTTGGGAGACAAACCAGTGTTTCACACAGCAGATATAGCTGACCAGAAAAAGATTACCATTCAGAGTTCAGGAGCCTGTGCATGCAATTATAGTCAATCTCAACAGACTCGGATTCAACAGACATTAATTAGTCTATGTCTTTGGCAGGTACTGGAGCACCAGCCAATCTAGCTATATAGATAGATTTGGCTATATCTTCATCTTTTTTATTTCCTCTGTCGATTATGGAAGTCGGTCTTGTGCTGTTGTTGTTAATTATTATGTACTGTGATTTTTTATTTTTTTTATCTTTGTTATTTGCTATAGGATAAAAACAGTGAGCGAGTGTTAGTTATGTTGTAGGTTTTGTATATATTCGATTATGTTATGTGGTGCATGTCCTGAATTCTGCTAGTGTTTCTGATTGAATTATTGTTTTGGGTAGGAGGTTCCACTATATTATGGTATATGGAAATGAATGTCTGTATGTGTCTTTGGATGTGTAGATATGTAACTAAGGTTGTGTCCTTGACGTGTTCTGGTGTCTCCCGGGATGAGATTGTTAGTGTGTATTGCTACTTGTTGGTGTATTATTTGTCGAGAAGAATAATGCATGTTCTTGTTCTGCGTGTGTGTAGTGCATGCGTTGGCCTTTGCAAGTTGTGTAATCATATCTGTGACTGAGCTTGTGTTATGGTATTTGTTTAGGACATATCGTGCTGCTCTTCGTTGTACTTTTTCTAATTGATTTGTTATTTGTATTATGTGGGTCCCAAACTGAAGAGCAGTACTTGAATTTTGGTCTTACAATGGCCTTGTATGCATGTTCTTTTATGTGTGGTGAATATATTTTTAGGTTGCGTTTCAGAGAGCCTAGTGATTGATTTACATTTGATGTGATGTTGTTAAAGTGTTTATCCCATTTTAAGTTGTATTGAAGTGTGATGCCTAGGTATTTGTTTGAAGTTACATATTCTAGTGTGTGGTCATGGAGTGTGCATTGGTGTTTAATTTGGGTGCTTTTTGGTGATATAATGAGATTGATGCATTTGTCTGGGTGGAATTTCATATGACTATACGTGTATAGGGCACATCGATTGAAGTGTTGACCAAACAGTGAAATGAAATCCTTTGCATAAAAACTCAACTTTCATTAATTTGTTTGAATTCCATCGACGCATTTTTTCCCTGTCAACATACATCCCTTATTAGTAAAAAGCTATAATGTGTCTATTCAATATGGCGTCTGCTTCGTTCGTGTTCCTGATGATAAGCATCCTGATGATGCAGATTTGGCCCGTGCTTTTGGAAGATGCTTCCAAGTACCATCAATAACATGCATTGGAAGTTGTTCATGTGTCGAGAGGGATTTAAATATTTCGTGATTTCGTACAGAAATCGTAAATATTCCTGTCTGACCATCAGATGGAGAGGATAAAGGATGCAAGTACCAAGAATTGCAACTGTGACATTTAATGAAGTCACCGGGAATTGAGTTTTTAAATTAAAAATTTTCATTTCACTGACTCACTTGGTCAACACTTCAATTAATGTGCACAATATATTTACGACCAGTACTGGCGTGTTTATTTGACCATTGTTATATATAACAAGCCATATTTGCCAGTGCTCCAGTACCTATTTGGACACACATGCACTGTAGATTAACGTTTGGATAGCCATTCTTTTGATTTTGTTAACCAAAAACAGTCCCTAAACTAAAGGGAAGTGTGTAACCAGACGCATTACATTGACATACATGTGCTTCTGTTATCAAACAAAATTCAAAGCTAAAGGATGTCAATTTTCAGTTTGGAAACGTACATTTCTTCAAAACCTTCAGCCATATATCGACCACTCTTTTGTAGGAAGATTTGTGGTGAATGATCCACAGCGATAAACCTTGCACGCCATCCTGTGTATTTGAGACCTGTTCAAATTTGCGTTCCAAGTTTTCATCACTAGTTTTCAATGGGGATGCCGCCATGTTGCTGAACGCTGTGAAGGTGTCTTACACAAAAAAGGGAATTACGTTGTAAATGCGGGCATACTTTCTACTGACATACAAATCTGAGTGTCATTGATATGCAAAAGTAATACTTATTCACACTGGATTTGCAAATAATTGCATTCAGCTCAAATTATCACCAAAATAAACCTTGCAAAACACACTGCATCAATGTCGGCCATGTTGAAGTGTACTCGCGCCGGTTCGAGATGACGAACTTGAAAATGTGTTTTTGTTTTAGTTTACGTTAGGCAATTAGTAACTTTCTTTTATCAGTGAAACTCAAAAATAGATTAATGCGCTACATTTATTTCAGTAAAAGATTTCCAGATTATATTGACCTCATTTGTGTTTTAAACCGGAAGTGATGTCTCGCTTGACCTATTTTTCAGACGTTTACTTAAGGCCATTCATTCATGAGTAGGTACGCTTGTGAAAAGGTGTGAACATGAATGTAAATAAGGGAACCACATGGTTGTGTCACACTGAGCTGTCACGGCTGAGTCGCACGTGCGAGTATATAACCGGACTTAACATAGAACAGTCTTAGAGCGATCATGGAAGCCGGTCGGCGACTAACTTTACATGTGTATTGCACTTGTGGGAACTTGACAAAAATCTTCAGCGGACTTCTCACGGTTGTGATCCCGTCTACTGTTTGTGTGTCGACAGACCTGGCTGACCTTTGAATCAGGCGATAATCGCACGATGGGACAACAATAGAAAAAGTGTGTTCCCCAGACTGGTTTAAAACTTTCGTTTGACTCTATGGGGAAGCCACATATTATCAAACATGTGTTGAATTGAGTAATAATCAACGTGTTGGGGGGAATATTTCGTTAAAAAGAGTTGTTTAAACATTATGGAGGAAACATTTGATTGGCCGATTTTAACACTTTGCTTGTTCTAACATTAAGAACAATTTGGAAAACTTTTCATTCTTTTTGTCAACTTCATGGTGTTTGTATATTTCACGAATGACTGAAGTCCAGAGTTATTTTGCTAGAGAATGGCTCGAAGACATGGCATCCGTATCAGCCACTTCGCAGGTACAGTGCTGGGTTTACTTTTCGGAGTTTTGCTGTCATCCTGGTGCCGCCAGAGACTTCTACCGTGTTTACCTATGACTGGACCCTGTTGCACAGTACATGTGAATTACCATGTTGACATCGCTGTTGAACATATACAAATTCAAAATGGACAATTTATCGAAAGTGTTGATAATAACATGAAAAATTATGAGGAGAGTTCCAAATCGCATGGAATGGACTTGTCAACTTATATTGATAAAGAAGAAAAGAGTTTTCTATTGATTGGAGTTATCACAGCAAAGAAGTTTTTAGATACACGGGCAGTAGCCGCCTTTCAAACCTGGGCTCAGACTTGTGTTGGAACATGTAAGGTTTTATTTTTTTCAAGTGAAGGTTCGACAACGAAGAGCAAAATTCCTTTAGTAAGTTTAGATGGAGTTGATGATGCATACCCACCACAAAGAAAATCACTGTTGATGTTAAAATATATGCATGATAATTATATCAATAATTTTGAATGGTTTATACGAGCTGATGATGATGTGTTTATCAAGGGTGACAGAGTTGAAAAATTCCTTAGATCTATTAACAGCTCAATGCCACAGTATATTGGACAGGCAGGCAAAGGAAAAAAAGACGAAATTGGAAAATTGCATTTGAATGAGATGGACAATTTTTGTATGGGTGGACCAGGAATAGTGTTCAGTCACGAAACACTTCGTCAAATGTCACCTCATATTGGCAGCTGTCTCCACAATCTCCTGACAACCCACGAAGACGTAGAGGTGGGACGCTGTGTCAAGTATTATGTTGGAATTGCATGTACCTGGGCATTTGAGGTAAGGCACAGTAACAGCTTATAGAACGTAGTTAAGTTATATAAAATGAAGATTGTAGTGAACATGTATGTAGCTTAAATCTCCAAATTGATACTGAAAGGTACCATAAGGTGACTTGTATTTGTTTCCAATATCGGATACAAACATTGTAGAGCAAGCTTTCCTTGTTTGTTACAATTTAGTAGTATAATTGATAGCAAGAGGAACAATCCTTAAAATCTGGTGGAAGACGGGATAAGGTATTTATTTCCTCACTGTAAAGTAACTGTCAAGTGAACATTTAATAAGTCAACCTTTAAGTTATCTTTCGTTGATACACATAATATTAAGCATAGTTTGATATTCGCAGCTGGTTGTTTAAGTATGCACTTTTCCTATGGTATCACGTTATATAATTCACTGTTTTTTGGTTCTATGTATTAATAGAGCTGTGAATGACATTGGTATCAAGATTAACATCAGAGGTTGGTTAAGAAATAAGATTTTATCAGTTTAAAATAACAATAATTCTGTCTGGTGCACTTAAAATTTGTTCCTGATGTCATTTCAAGCAGGACAATATTGTAAGTGAGTCCATGTGGGAAATAGGATTTCTACGTCAAATAATATTTGACAGTTGATCTACATACAAATTTTTAAATGTTTACTGGTATGTTTTGTATGTTGTTGGCGAGATGGGGTATATAGGTTTTAGTTTAATTTTGACATATTTCCATTTCAATAGTTTGCCAAAGTGCTCTATGAACAGTATAGGTAGCAAGGTGTCTATTCAAACTGTCATTATTTGCGCCTGGCTGTTATGAGGATGTAAAACCCCAAACACCTGTAACATATACTCCATCATCGTCCTTACAGGACACTGATCTTACTTATCTTGAGGACCTATTCATCAGATGTAGGTCACTGTAATCTATTTTTTCAGCTTCATTGTCTTTGGTTAAATTAGTGTTAGTGGTAAATTAGGCCTATTTATTTGGTAAGATTGTTTAGTTTCATCAAAGCAGGGCATGTCATTTGTACAACATTTTAAAGTTCATTTCTAAAAAGACCTTTATGTGTCTTTAACACAAATTATGGTAGATTTCAATGTATTGTTACTTTCATTGTGTGAGTATACTAAAACAAGTATAGGGATTTGTGTGCACTTTTGTTGCTGCTAGTATCTTCCATGTTTCCCCTTCAGAATAAGAACAAAATTCCTTAGATTGTGGTATTTGCTTTTCAACCTGCAATGCTAGTTAATAAACAAGTAGCATAAAATGGTTAACATTCTAGCTTCAGTTGTAGACCCGGTTTAATAAGCATATATATAATCTTCCCTCCAAAGTCACACTTGTTTATTATCTCTAGCCCTTGACAATATCATCCAATTTTCAAAAAAGGGGTAACTTTTTAAAAAGCTGGATAGATCCCTATCGTATACATGTACATATTGTATACAGTGAAATTTTTTAGAGATAAATATCTAAGAAGTGGGGGCCACTTAGTTCAAATTGTTGTCATTTTTAAGTACAGTACAATGTACATTTTCTGGGATTTCCTCAGTTACAGTAGTAAATGCACACACATCATATTTTGACATTGACCCCTAAAATAAATTGAAGATTATTGATATGGAATGACAAATATACAGTGCAGCAGTATGAGAGGTCAAGATGTTTTTTAATAATTATAAAAATGATAATGAAGACTGCATGTATTTAAATTTAATACTCACTGATTCATTCCTCTAAAAATGGACATAAATTTGTGTAATCTATCTGAGACTGATTAAATTATATCAAGGAAACTAACATCATAGGTAACAAATTACATAGTATCTAATTTCATAAAACATGTGACACACTCAGGCTGATATCAAATTAATTGAAGTTATTACATAGAATTTCCATTCTTACATGTCACATGTCATGATGTGTATATGATATTTTAAGTTAAATGACTTAAAAGTCATGATTATATATCCCTGCAATTCAAGTACTGATGGGAGAGTAAAGGCTTTGTATCTTAACCTTATCACCACTGCAGACCATAATGGACTCATCCAGATCAATGCATTGTTGAGTCTACTAAAGTTGCATAGGGGTGAAAGGGTTAACTGACAAAAGCTATGGTAGTATATACGTATCATAGGAGACAATAACATGATAACTTACACCAGTTTTCAAAAAGGAAAGGGGAGTACATAAAGGCTGTTATACATAGGTTAACATAACATAATGGTCATCCTAAATGTGTTCTAACTCAAATATAGACACTGCTAGAAATTACTGTACTATGTTAAGCTAGGCCTTAGTAGTATTTAACTAACTGATATCCCCTGGACCAATCAAATTCTAAAGCACTAGGTCACACTGTAGTGTAGTACTACACATGTGTTTTATAAACACCTGATACTGTAATATATTACATGATACATAAGTAGTATAACTTATAGTACTACATTGAAACAAAGGAAAAAGCTGTATTGGTTGTAAAATACACATGGAAGAATGTAATGCACTTTTAGAACCAGTATACACATTGCATAAATGTAGTTGTATGTGTATAATGCATGACGACATGGACAATCCGTGTGTTAATTCTTAAAACATGTGTTATTGCTTGTTTAGAGGAGTCCGCAAACTAAATCTATGAACAGTACTGATTATGAGGATGGGAATTGGGATCTGTTAGAAAACAGATCAGCCCCAGTATTTAACAGACTTCTTGGTGATAGCTTGATCTTCAATGGGATGGCGGTTCTGGTCTCAATTTCCGTCACCACTGGTTAATGCTGGTTGAGGTACAAGTACATAAGTAAACAATATAAGGCTTGACAGGTCACATTGCATGATCCTTTAGCTTAATATGAGCCAACTATTTTCATGTAACATGGGGGTGTCTTTCTTTGCCGGCCCGTAATAGATATGTGAAATATAAGAAATATTACAAATGACCTGCCGATCCCAACATCTGAGACCTTAGTTATTATAATTTATTGCTGTGAAAAGAAAAGATATACCAGGTATATGCTGTCAGTACCCGTTATATCTTTTCTTCTTGTACACTAAATTAAAATGTACAAATTTTTCATTTTGTGTTTCTCGTTTCATTTACTTTTGAGCAATTTCTATGGGATATGTGTTGGGCAGAATTTTTGTTTTTCCTTTAAAGAATTTATATAAGTTATCATGTAAATTTTCCCAGATTGGTTTAACATTTTTCAAATCAAAAATGATATGAATTCATCAATTTTGTCACAAAAAAGGCCTATATATCTAATGCATTGGCAAATGTTTTGATTGTTGTGTGTGAGAAAGTATAAATGTTTGTGTAAATTTTGTAAAAGTGTCACAATGAAATGGCACAGGCCACTTTAGTAAGAAAACAGAGAAATCCTAGCTGCTACGCTTTGCAAATCTTGACATTCTATTTGAAGTTTTTGTGCCTTGTTTGATGCTACACCTGTCCCTGTTTTGGTTCTTTATTTTCTTTAATACTGATGCTGTACAGTTCCTGTCAATGATGTTTGTATTGTAGCATTCTGTTTGCGTTTAGTGTCTATGGTTTCTTTGTGCACTATTTAACTTTTTTTTACATTAACAATACGTTATTCTCTGCACACAAGTCCTTGCATTGACATAAGGATTTTAAAAAAAAACTACAGCATATCTGTATCACAATGTATAACCATGTGAAGTTTCAGTTTGAACTTCTGGTTCTTGAGATATTAATCACCAAGTGGTAACAGACAAACAGATAGACAGACGGACATCATGATTACAAATTGCATTTTCAGATCCTGAATTAATTCTGACCAACTTTGTTAAGATAAAAAATAATTTGGTCTTATGATAAACCTTTGACAAGATAACCTTGACTTTTGGAAAATTGACTTCTTGTTGGTTTTGACCAGCTGGCATCTTGAGGGTCATTGATTACTTTTACATTACATGGGTATAGATTATACAGAAAAACCCTGTTGTAATGCCTCCCGTTAAACCGCCAAACCCGCATACTGCCATTAATTTACTCAGAATGAATTCCCCCAATGTTAATGCACCCGTTGTAACGCCAAACCCACATACTGCCATCAAGCCATCATATTCTCAAAACAAATGGTTAAAATCACACTATTTTGATATTGTTAAATACCGCCAATTTGAGTCGAGTACAGGAATGTTACGTACGTATGTACATTTTGTTACACATGACTGCCGACTGACCAAGTAATCAGCTGTGTGCTTTGCACGCTCAACAATTTGATACATTTAGTTACAATTTTGAAAAAAATGTATTCTGAAGTGAATTATTATCTTTTATCACTTGGGTTTAAACTATAAACCCGATGTACCGTCAAACTTGTTGTACCGCCAAAATGACAGAGGACAGAAGGTGGCGGTATCACAAGGTTTTACTGTATGGGTAAGTTTCCCTGTCCAATTTTAGCATTGCTTAATTTTCCCCTATTTCAGTTAAAAATTCCCCCACTTATAACTAAAATACTACCACAGATCTGTCTTTGTTTTGGTTTGGTGTTTTTTTCTGTCAGTTTGACGACTGAGTGATTAATTTCATTTTGCATGTGTTCATGTTGTCACTGGCCCCTTTTGTACTCCCCCCCCCCCCTGACTCCAGCCTGTAACCCTCGCCGAACGGGTCATGAGCCTACAGCACATATTTTTCCCTATTTCAAGAAAAGGTACTAACTTCCTTTTCCTGCATCAATCCCTGTATTAACTATTTTGTTAAGAATGTCCTTGACATCTAATTGGGAACTACATGTTTCTTCAAGGTCACAACCTTGTCATTTTCTCAGGCATTTTCACCCAAAGTCTTGACTCTTAGTTAGGGCAGTCAGTGGAGGTCAGACTGTCAGATTCCAACCTAGGCTCGTTGGTATTCACTTCAACATTTGGCAAACATTGCAATAGCACTCATTTCAATGTTCCGCAGCAACATCTAGAGAACACTCACTTCATCCTTCAGGAACAATAACAACTACATAAAGCATTCAT